GGGGGCGTCCTTACTGGGGGAATGGAGAAGAGGAATTCTCAGAAAGGGGTAAGAACCCTCTTAATACATGGGTCACCAGCCAGGGGTGAACTGGAAGCCCTGGGGGCAGGTGGAGCCCGCGTCTCCATGGTTTGGTGGATGAAGACACCGTTTCAGTGCAGGGAGTGGAGGGGTCCCCTCCATGTTCATCCCCTCAGCGTCCTGTGCGGCCACATGCAACTCCCATCGTGGGTGGGTTGTGCCACCTCTGTGGCCCTCAGCTTCTCCGTGTGTCGGTCCCTGTGTGATCCAAGGGTAGGAGCCATCTTAGAGTATGGGAGCGGCAGAGCGGAGTGAGGAAGGCTGGCTTGTGATCTTGGTTTGGCAAGTCACCCACCCTGACACCGACCGTGACCACTTTTAGGCCAGGGCATAATCTGGGACAACAGGACTTGCTTCCCCCTTCAGTTTGGCCATTTGCTGAGTCTGCAGGCTCAGAAAATGCAGTCCAGTGCTTCGGGGAGTCTCCTACATCCATCTCATCCCACGGAACACATCGTGGTGACTCTGGGACACAGTGACAGGGTGACTTGTCTCTCCTCGGCTGGCGGGCTGGCCCCAGAGTACTGCAAACCAGAGCTGGCCACGGGCCAGGCGAGCCCTGCAGGGCCTCCCTCCTCTGGGCCTCCTGTTCCAGAAGTTAGATGCTCCTTGGACCCTGGCATCATGGGGGAAAAAACTCGAGTTTTAAAAAGTTATTTATATAAATGTGCACACAGTACCCTCCCCCTTCCATTTGGAAATATGTGAAAAACCAGCTTAATGTTTTCTTTGGATAAATTATTAACATGGAGCTCTTCTCTGGAGTCATTACTGGCTCACTGACTTGGGCTCCTTCAGGGCTATTTTATATCCTCCTCTTCTTATGAAAAACATTCAAAATGCCGTTCAGTTTGGACGCTCCTTCACAAGGAGTCCTTCTTTACCATCTAAACTAATCACCTGCCCCGCCACCCATCCCACCCGTCACCTCGTTTTATTTTTGACAGTGAGCTCCTGTCACTATTTGGGATTACCTGATTCAGTCCCAGACACTTACTTGTTTCTGGCTGCTTGTTCGTTTCCCCTCACTGGAATACAAGCTGCATGAGGGCAGGGTCTCATCTGTCCTGCTCAGCACTGTAGCCCCGGCACCTACAACAGCTCCCTGTGCACAGTAGGCCCCCAATAAAGACTTGTGGAACAAATGATCCCTCAGACAGGCTTCTAGGGAGGTTTTGGTAAAGGGGCCACGGCCTGAGTGTCACTGAGGGAGGGACCTGAGGAGGTGGCACTTGGGCCTTTCCTCCCCGTGCCTGCCTTGAGTCCCCATCCACCTGCCCAGCACCTTCGGCCCCTCTTCCCCAGCTTCCCGGCGTCCCTGGAGCTGTCCCCATTGGGCTGCACCTGTTCGGTGCAAAGGCTGTGCTAAGCCCTCTGTGTGCATTAGCTCACACGCTCCTCTGACAGCCCCTTGAGACAGATACCACTTCCCTCTTTGGGCACACGCAACACGGAAGGGAGGCTCAGGGAGGGTGAGGGACTGGCAGAGCTGAGGGCTGGACCAGGTCTGTGTTGAAGCCCAGGCCTTGTCCCTCAGCCCCGTTCACCCCCCTGAGTCAACGGCGACCTCGCTGGTGGAGATCTCAGGCTAGGAAGGCGAGAAAACTGCTGCTAGTGGGGCCGGCGAGGGGGATGCATGTGGGTGGGTGGGAACTGCCAAGGCCCCTGCCCCCCGGAATTTGGCTTCTCTCTTCCAGCACAGTCGAGGTCAGAAAGAGATTGTGCATAGAGAGAACAAAAAGCCCAGAGACGGGGGCTACGGCGGCAAGTCGGGGGCTCTCCTGGTCTTTTACTCGCAGATAGGGGGGCACAGTGAAAAGAGAAGAGACTGGAGTAAGGCTGGACGCTGTCTTCCAGGCTGGAAAGGGGACGGTGCCGAAAGTGGGCGACACAGACAGGGCTTGACGAGATGACTGGAGTCACCTCCCAGGGACAGTCAGGCCAGGCCAGGCATTTGGGTTTGGACGGTTTGAGGGGTTAGCTCAGTTTTGTCCAGCCAGACACCAGCAAGTCGTGTTTTGAGAAAATGCATTTTCACGAGTTGATGCTGTCACAATCCCCGAGGCAGTGACCTTTGGCTCCTAAGCAAGCGCGCAGAGCAACCTCGGCCAAGGGAGTAGTTGCACCCAGATCGCCCGGCCTGGTGGCCTGGTGGTGTCTTCCACACTCCCTCCCTTTCCCTTCCCACATCCAGGGTCCTCCCTTGTTCTGTGCACCCCTTCTGCAAAACGTCTCCTGTCCTGGAGTCTATATTCAACCCCAGGCTGTGACAGCCTGCCTCTTCCCTTATTCTAGCAAGCTAGGATGAATTTCGGGCAAGCTATTTGGGTTCTGGGGGTTCTACAATGACTTAAGAATAAAGCAAAAACTCCCTTAGGACTCCTGGGGCAACTGGGAGTCACAAAGTCCTGGCCTGGAAGCGTCTCACCCCAGCTCTGCCTCTGTGGTTTGGAGAGTTTCCTCCTCCAGGTGGTGCCTCATTTCTTTTCTTTTTCATTCTTTTCTTTTAAAAGATTCTCTTCTTTTAAGATCTTTTCTTTTAGATGTGAAGCCATAGACTCCTCGGCTGAGCTCACATCTCAGGCTTGCTCCAGGCCGGCTCCCGAGCTTGTCATGTCTCTCAACCAATTTCTCTAACCCATGCGGCTGGAGGCAGAAATGGTTCTTGGTGAGCAAAAAGCAGAAACAAAAACCCCAAACTTTTTATGTGTAAAGCACAGATATACATACAGTAATAAACAGACAGATATCTGTAGTGTTAAAATGTCATGGGGGAGTGTGGTTAGGAAAAAAACGTTTTGAAAGGCTCCTTAGGGGACCATAATGAACAAACAGGCTGAGAAACACTGATGTCAGTACCAAGGTGCACAGGGCACCATGACAGGTGCTGGCCAAAAGGTGAATGACAGTAACTTCTCCTCTCTAGGAACTGGTCCAGAGGGACGACCACCCTTGCTGCTTTATTCCTCCCAGATGATGTGTCTGCTTTCCTTTACTCTAAATCCTGCTAAACGTTCACTTTTGGTGGCTTTATAGATGCATCTGCATCTTATGCTGGCCATGGCTTATTTATTTATTTATTTATTTTGGCTTTTCTTTCTTCCAGCTATGGCATTGCTGGCTCTACCAACGTGACGGGGACCAAGTTAAAAAGCTGGATGTCCTCTCCAATGACCTGGTGATGAACATGTTAAAGTCGTCCTTTGCCACCTGTGTTCTTGTGTCGGAAGAAGATAAACAAGCCATCATAGTACAACAGGAGAAGAGGGTGAGGCCGTAGTTCTGCTGTCGAGGGTCGTTATGCGACCATTTTTCTTTCCAGCTTCATCAGTGACTCCACTTGTTTAGCCAAGCTGGATCCCTAGGAATCGCCCTAGGTCCCACCTGTCGTCTTTTCGCAGATTCCACCTCACTACTGCACGTCAGATCTGTCCTCCCTCATATCTTACATGACAGAGTATAAATAAATAAGACCAACATTTGAGAACTTTCCTCTCGATTCCCATTTTTAAACCCTTAGTATATACTCTCTGTCTTGTTACAGTATATTGAAGTCATATCCCTTTTTCTTTGCTCAGGGTAAATACGTGGTCTGTTTTGATCCCCTTGATGGATCTTCTAACATCGATTGCCTTGTGTCCATTGGAACCATTTTTGGCATCTACAAAAAGGTAAAACGTGATATATCAAGCACCTGGTTTTGGATCAAAAGAAAAATTGAAGTCGAGCATCTAGTCCTGATTCACTGTAGTGGAGCAGCCAGAAGGTATATCATGAAATTCTGTGAGGCTTGAATAGATTTGTATCTCAGGTTCTGACTTTTTCAGCATTTATTGCGTAATGAAGATCTCTTTAGTTGTTAAAAGAAAATATGGTACTAAAATGTGGGTGAAAAGAGGATATTTCACTGTTTTAACTATAGCTTTCTCTTATGATGAAAATAGAAATTAAAAAAAAGACAGTATAAGGTAGGTATAGTGATGATACTATGTGAGGCGAGAATTGTGAAAGTATGACAACAATAAAGATTACTTACGTTAAACTTTTCTTTTAAAAATCCTCTAAATCAGTGGCGTGCAAGTTATGACCCCTGAACCAAATCCAGCCTGTTGCCTAGTTTGTATGGCCTGTGAGCAAATAATAACCATTGTTCATTTTTAAATACTTGAAAAAAAATCTAAAGAATATTTCATGACTCATGAAATTTATATGAAATTGAATTTTCCCTGTTCACAAGTGAAGTTTCACTGGCATATGGTCACACCGATTTGTTTACATATTGCCTTTGGCTCATTTTGAGAGAGTCACTGTCAAGGTTGGGTAGTTGTGATAGACCGTATGACCCCTAAAGCCTAAAATACTTACTGTGTGTGCGTGGAAAAGATTGGCGGAGCCCTGGGGCAGGACAGGAACCCCGAGGCTGCTCTGGGTCTTCCAGCTGCATGACC